CTGTCTATGTTTTGACATAGCTGAGTTCATTACACTGACAACCAGTCTGGAAGTTGAGCCTGAAGGCTGTTTGAAAGGAAAATATAAAGAAAGCAAGAGGGACCATTTGTATATTGATCTCAAAAATCAAGCTTGAAATCTGAGTGCTTTCGTGACACCCCAGCATGGAAAACTGTTGAAAACCCTCCATCAGATGTTCTGGAGGTTTTCCATGTTTACTAAAGCTCATCAACTCTCTTGCTGATTCGGGGTTCCACAGTACAGAGCAGACACTGGAGACGATTGCTTCCAGTCATGCACATTAGTCCAGTGTCTCTTCCCCTTCATGTAATATTTCAGTTTCTCTTTACTCTCATTGGGACTCCTCTCTTCCTCTACAAACCAAGGTACACATGACAGTCTCACATTTAACAGATGAACCTACACCAAACAGATGAACCAAAAAAGGAGAAGAAAGATGAGAGGGGGCAAAAAGCCAAAACATGCTGGTGAGTAAAGTTAATTTGTAAAACTCTGGTAACCAGTAGACCTTACATAAACCAGACATGGAAAAACAAAGCAGAAAATTTTGAATAAATATTGTTTTTACTTTAATGGCACAAGTGCTATCGCTTAAAAATACAACTAAAGAGTTTTTAATTATATTCAGCGGCACAAATACGGAGGATGAATTCTTTTCAGAGACAGTTTCAGGCTCATTTGTTTTGTTTTCATTTTACTTGCGTCAGAGACAGCATGATGTGGTGGACATGACAAAAACCTCTCTCTCACTGAAGACTTGAATTTGTGATCATCGCCTCATCTGTGATTAAGCTTAGGAAACAAAAATCTTTAGCAGGGCAAGGATTGCAACACAGAGTTTGGGGCTTGCCAAAAACATTTATCTAACAACATTTTCTCACAGTGTTAAATAGAAAATATTATGAGGTAACATTGGCATTTGTTCACCCATTGTGCCATTTCAGTTATTATTTTAGGGCTCCAGCTCCTTTCACTGTAAACTAAGGATCTGCACATTAAGCTTTCTTTGTGATATATATGAAATTCAAGTTAAAGGAATTGTGGAAAATTCGGAATAGTTTTAAGATTTGTGTCTTTTTCATGTTCTGGTAGTGAAAACCAATTGCCAGATAAACTAGATTAAGCTATAAGAGACAGATCAAATAAAAAGTATTCACCATTGGTAATCAGTATGTGAGCCATGTACTGTATAATTTATTTTAATACAATTCTTATGTGATTTTACTCAAGAAACTTGTACGAACAACCAAATAAGAACTTGCCAGTACCCAGGGACTTTTAGACTCTGAGAAAAACTGTGACCTGATTAAAATCTCTCTAAAGGACAGTATGTTTGGTATATGATATTTAACAGCAGTAAACACACTACACCCAGTGCAGGTAAACATACATCCTGACTGAGCCCTGTTTACAAAAACTGTCCACAGCAAGGGAGACCAACAGGGCAGAGGCAGACATCTCTTCTGCAAGGAGGTTCAAAGGAGCTCTTTGTACAGCAGATGAAAACATCTATCATAGGGGGTGTTTAGAATATTGCATGTCCTGCCACAGATCCCGGAGAGAAGAGAGATCACTTATGTCTGTAAATGAGGCTGAGGGAGTACAGGTAGTCATTACTCAGAGGAAACAACTGTTTCTACCTCTTACTCACATACCTCTCCCCTTCCAATACCCGCAGGCCACCATCAATACCGCCCAACCCGACAGCTATCATAGACCACTTGGCGGTCTCCACCCATGCTCAGAAGTTCACTGTCAACGCCTGACAAACACACATCTGCACAGCTGTAAATGCCCTGTAATATAGAACCAGAAACACCTCCTTGGTCTGACATCTCAATTCCGCTCTGTTCTCCCTCTAGTCTTCCTGTCAAAGTTTTTGATATCTTGATTCAGGCATGGCACTGTGGAGGTTGTGGAACAGGGTTCATTAGAAAACACCTTTGCAAAGGAGTTTTGCACCTGGGCACATGTGCATAAAGTGACGTTAATACTTTCTCTGTGTTGTCAGGCTAATGGAAGCTGATAGATTCAGGTCAACAGGTATTGCTATGTGGTTTTTGTTTTTTTGTTTTTTCTTGGTCTCAACTAATGCCAGGCAGTTTCACTTACACTATTGATAACTGTTTTTGATGTGTATTTTCACTTTAAATCAATTGAAACACTGGAATGTGTTGTTCATTTGACCCAGGCTATAAAAAAGGGAAAAACACTGCTGCTGACAGTTTTATCCTTTAACACTGGTAATGATTAATTCTTGTTGCACAAGTCAATATTAGTTCATATAGTGCCAAATTACAACTGCCACCTGTAGGTGCTTTATGTTGTAAGGTAAAGACACTAAAACAAGCACTAAAACACCTACATAGCTTTGTAGATCATATCTAACCTGTAGATCCCATCTATAGAACCAATTCTTGCTGTAGTTGCCCATGTGGATCACTGATCATAGAGAAACCAATTTTTACAAATGTAACTGACTGTCACGGTTCTGGGTCATTTTGACCCTGCTTTTTCGGTTTCTTGTATTTTGGTGTGTTTCCAGATTGTGCTCATTATAATTATGTTCTGATTCTTTAGCTATCCTATGATGATGATGATTATTATTTCTGGGTTTAGTTTAGGTTTTGCCTGTGCTTAGTCTTCTCTGCCTGTATGTCCCTCTGTCTGTCCATGGTGTCTTGTCTGGTCCTCTGTGTCTGTTAGTTTCCTGTTTTATTCTGAAGGTCCCTGTCTTATGTGAGTGTGTTCAGGTTACATTTCCCCTGTCTCGTCAGCTGTGATTTCTCCCAGGTGTGTTCCCCACCTGTCTCTCATCCCTTGATTACTGCCGTGTGTATATAAGCCCTGTGTTTCCTTTGCTCTCTGTCGTGTCGTCAATGTCTACTCACCCTCAGTTTCAGCTGTGTGTTCTGTTAACTGTATTTACCTGCCTGTTAGTTTATATTTTCCAGTTTAGTTAGTCTTCTGTTTGATCAGCAGCCTGCAATAAAGCAGTTTATTCTGAGTTTACTTTTGCCTCCGTGAGTCCTGCATTTTGGGTCCTTCCCCTCTGCCTTCCTGCACACAGCCATGACACTGATGGAGAAAAAGAAGTATACTGTGTACGTGTGCCTTTGTCTGTGTGTGAATACACTGTAAGGCTTCGCTCCAGGGGCTCCTAAGCACACTTGCTTGCTCATTACACCAATCACATCAAATTAACCACTTCCTTCTAGAAATTCTGGTTCCTTTCCATGGTTCTGTTTCCTCATTTAACCCCCACTGTTTCTGTCTGCCTGTCTAGAACAGCAAATCACTTCACTCATGGGTTGTTTTCCAGCCACATGTGAGGGTCAAGTTAACTCTGAGCATACATAGTATGCTTATGTCTACAATTACGATCTCTTATGGCATCTGACAACAGATCTTCTGTGCAGGATAGCACATTATCATTCAGCCTTATATATAAATAAGGAACACTAAGTTGTAATAAATAATAAGATAATAAGTTGATGCTGTTGAAATGAAACCATTAGCAATAGCAACACTGAGCAGTGAGCTGATATTTTTGACAGTTATCACCCTTAGTGGTCTTTCAAATTGGTTTTTTTTTTTTGAGAGTGTGGTGGTACTGTGGCAGTTGGCTGTGATGGTCTAAAGAGGGGAAATGAAAATGCCACAGTACAGGACGATGTGAAGTATAAATAAATGTTTGGTAAGCTGAACTAATTTTGATTTAAGAAAATACATTGTCTTAAAATATGCATGTACATTTGTTTATGTGAAATAAGTTGATAAATAATTTAATGTAAAAAAAAATGTGAAAAATAATATTTTAATGTAATAATATTTAGAAGAAAAGATTTTCTAGTTTTTATAAAGTCCTCTTGCTGTTTCCGTTCGGGGGAGATGCAGTTTATTCTTTACAGCTGACTGATAAATAAACAATAGACAGAGAGGAAGCATTTGAAATATTTATTGTCTTTGTTACAAGAAGCTCTGAAAATCACTGTGGAAAAGCACAAAATGGTAGACCTATTTATACAGTTAGATAGGGAGAAAGTAAGCACAATAAAATGTGTCTCTGTAAGAAAAACACAGTGTCCATCATAAAGGCAGTTATAGCTATTTATGATAGACCAGTTATGGTCTATGAGGCAATGATAATAATATTTCTAAAAGTCATATTTTTTATATATATATTTGAGTTTGAGACTAATTTTCTATGTGACTCTTCTTCCAGTATTTCAGCAGCTCACTCAAAATGAAATTTAAGATGTTACCACTAAATCAATTAAAACAGGACTCCCATGACTGTGATGATGCCTTTCACAGAAGAGCCTTGTCATTTTATTTTCAGCCTGAAATACAAGCACCGTGTATCATATTACTTCCATTTCTTTGTAAGTCTGTACATAAAATTCAGGCCAGGCACACTGGGTTGCATAATGCTTGGTTTTCATGCTCATGCCTCTGACACTGATGCCATCTCAACTTTTTATTTTTATTTTGGGAAATCTGTAACTGGGTTTGATCACAGCCTTTTATATTTCAAATGGTTTCTACTGAAGTTGCCACTTTCTCTTCTTCTTCTTGTCTTTTACACATTTACCTTTACACGCTCACACACACAGGGACACACACTAAAAAACAAACCAGCTGGTCCTGAATCATTCTGACATCTGCATACAGTGTACAGGGACCCGTGTTGCTATATCAGGAGAGGCTCAGCTGAGCTAACCCTAACTAATTCCGAGTATGCCTGTCATATACTTGAGACTGCCAGTAACTGCAGCAGTAAAGTTTTTGCATACTGATTTTATCTGTGCACAGAATATAAGTAAGCAATAAATTTAAGGAACAGAGGCTCCAAGACACATTTATTTAAATAACGTTCACAAACAGTTATAATAAAAAAAACCTCTATTGCACCTACAGTACACAAGAGTAAATGGATTGTACAAAAATATGGCATTTTTTTTAGAATAACATCATAAATGATTACTGTTATAGGTCAGTAATAAGACTAAACTTAGCATGCTATGTCTCCTGTACATGTCATATCAATATTTACAGTCATACATAATGAAAGTAATGGCATCATCTTAATTCCAATATTACAAATCCTAACTTTTAATGTCATTAAGTGACCAAATGGAATATTAGCCCTATGAAACTTTGGAGTAAAACGAGCAACAGCAGTCTGTCAAACTACGGAGGCTTGAGTGATATCAATGGATAATTTATTTACAAAGTTAACTGTGCGTTTTCCTGTAACATACCTCTACTACTTCAAGTTGCTTGCTAAGTATATTGCATTTTTGCACTGCATATTTCACTGATCGTCTTTCATGTCACTTTAAGAGTTAAAGTTTACTTGCTCATCTGACACTGCAGTTTCACAGTTCTGAGTCACATTAGCTTGATCCTTAAACCAGTTAATATAAACATCCTTAATGTTTCTATATCCTGTCGCCTATTGTTCTGCTGTCCTCACTACCCTCCCTTGCTTCTGATGTTCTTTCTTTTCCACATTCTCTCTGTGGTGTCTCCTGTTCCGGCTTTTCTTCATTTCCTGGATGTGTTTCCATTTGCCATTTCCTAAGCCTCGCCCTCGAACCCTCAACGGCCTCTTATCCAGCCACAGTGCATCGCAGTACTCTTCTAGAGAGCTGAAGGGAGAGCTCATCGCTCTCAGGTAGTCTTTATATCGCTGACGTGCCTCTGTTCCATGGTGTAGCCCCCCGGCAGAGTCGTCACTCGGCTTGGCTTTTCTGTCTAGCTGTCCATTTGTAACAACTTGTAGAGTGACACGGAGGAGAGTATGGGTGAAGTGTGTGTGCTCTTGAGCTACACAGATATACACACCGGCATCAGAAGCATGAAGGGAGCGAATTAGGAGACCTCTTTCCGTGTGAATTACTCGATCATCAAATCTGACCTGAGAGACAACAAGAAACATATAAGAGCTACATAATGCCAACCCACCACCACAAACCCCAGCTAACACATCACCCTCCTAGGGCTGTTCGATATAACGATATATATCGGATGACGATATAAAAACGTCTATCGTTTCACATTTTACGCTATCGTTTTTCGTGGTGTCGCAAAATAAACTGTTTACGGCAATATTTTTTCATTATTTTGATGGTCACTGTAGTGGCCATCAAAGAAAACAGCGGCCGTTATAACTTATGTCTAAAAATTTATTATTTCATGCATCAGTTAAAACACTCGACTCCAGGTACGACGCCCAGCTGGAAACACTTCACGCAAGTCGAGCTGCCCGAGATTCACAGAATTTACAGAAAATGTTACATTTTTGTGATTTATGTCGTTATCGGACGATAGATGTCTTAATATCGGGATATGAGATTTTGGTCATATCGCACAGCCCTACACCCTCCTCAAACACATACATTTCTGAAGATTTGTAACCAAGTTGTGTTGAACAAGGTAATGACCCCTAAAACGGGAAGCATATGGAATTAGGTGTGGCGAGTATAGTTCACGGCGTGGGTGGGCACAGGTCATTATGTGATGAGAGATCTTTAGATGCATAATGAGAGTAAACGTTGAGCGCTGCTGGGAATGTATGTGCTTGTTGTTAAGGTAAGTGGCATGCTAATGTTTTTGGCCCTATTTCCGTCTAGCATCCACCACGGTTCATCGGATGATGTGACTGCTGTCAGAGCCTAAAAAAACAAAGCTGTGTTAAGAGGACACAGAAAGAGCATGAGGGAGTGAGTCCAGCATGTGTGAAAGTGTGGCTGCTTCAAAGGGATACCTCCCACAGCTGCACTTTGACCCCCAGAGGTGTAACTGATAAGAAATGCAGAATATTACCATGTCTTTTGCCCATGTGCTTGCTGTGGTCTTGTTTTACCATTTTTTTCTTACATACACAAGTGTGTGTGTGTGTGTGTGTGTGTGTGTGTGTGTGTGTGTGTGTGTGTGTGTGTGTGTGTGTGTGTGTGTGTGTGTGTGTGTTTGGATAGCTCTGTGGTGGTTTCCAGATCTGACACTAATGATGTGTAGTCAAGGCAGAGGCACACCCACAGGTTTCAGTCTTTCTGGATGTTGTCTTTTGCACACATTAGACCTACTAGCCAGTCTCATACCACATTCTCATTTCCTGACACACCTGACTGACTTGACAAAACATATGGTATACGTATTAAAAACATAAAAATCACACTTACGTGGCTCTCTGTCCTCTGCCTTTTAAAATCATCCAATTAGCATTCATGTGCCTATCTGATTGCTTTTTAAGTCGCCTGCACTCTTCCATCCAAAACCAAGGCATCTGTGACTAAATAGCAATGCCAGGCTTTTAAACTTAGCCAGATGGTCTGTCTTTATTTGTATGCCTGTGTGTGGATATGTCTGTGTGTGTCTGGGCATGCAATCACATCAGCAACTCCTACAAGGGAAAGCAATCCAGTGTATAGTGTATAGTAGTGTATAGCGTTCATAAACACACTTATGCTCTTCTGTTTTAACAACTTTGCATGAATGTGGAGTAAAGCAATGAAATGTTATTTAATGATGACGTTTAAACTGTTAAATGAAACACAGGCGAGAATATTTGCAGTCTACTTCTAAGTTAATTTGATGCTTTAAGTATCAAATTAAGAAATTCCCACCTAAGCTGAGAAATAGGTGCTTTGTGCTAATGAGCATTGAGCAACACATTTAACCTTTTCCATACTTTTCTTATTAGAGATTACCCAATGGGCTAGCATTGCAGGCTCCAGGAGGTAAACACGTGTGCACAAACATGATGTGAGAAAGATGGCAAAATTTCTTCTAGCTCACATCTTTAATAGCTGAGTTTTACTAGGAGATAAGAGGAGGCACTGGATAAGGAGATTATGAGTTGAGTAAGTTTTAGACTGGGCTGCAGGTGCTATGAACAGCTGGCTGAGGTTGCCTTTATCAAAACCCAGAAACACAGGAGGGAAAACTGTGGGAAATTGTGGACACAGCATGAAAGTTTTGAGGAAGCTAAGTAGGCAAGGAGTATTGGGGCAGGACGTGAGCAAAGATTAGGGTCGGGCTGAGGAGGAAGTTAACGGCCAGGGAAGATAAAAGGATGACAGAAGAAAACAGGGCAGAAAAGAAGAGATTGAAATGTGCAAGACACTTAAATGATCACATGCTTTGCAGCTGTGAGAACACATAAACCACCTTACACAGCTAGAAGGCCAAGATACAACTATTACACCCAACTAATGTAATAGGGATGTAGTTTCAATTCCGCATCCAAAAAAGGCCTAAAAACATAGATCCAAACTTTATACATAACACACATATCAGCAAACACACCATTGCCACTAGGTAATTAAAACAAAGAGAAAAATTAAGACAGTTAAAGAAATCAAATGGTATTAGTTGCAAGAATGCTATCTGAACATATTCAAGATATCGCCCACACAACTGACTATGAATTCCAACATCTGAAAAGTGTGCGCTCCTCTGACCTCCAGCTTGTTTTTCACTTGATCTCCATCCTTTTTATGATCAATGTTTGCTGCTTTGAAGCAGCACAATCTTGTGTTTACTATAATTCTACGTATAAACCGACATGACAAAGAAGTAAAAAGGCCAATAATTTAAGTACCAGAAATTATTATATAATTACTTTATGTTGTCTGAGTTCACAAACGAGAAAAAAAGTGTTTTAAGGCAATATTGCTCATAAACTACTTTGCTCTTCCACTGTTCAGTTTGCAAATGTATTTGGAAATACTATAGTATAATATATAGTAACTATGTATAGTCACATAATAATCTCATAATCATGCTCCAGCTTTGGCCGTGTTTTTTTGTAATTATTATTATTTTTAGCTTATATAGCTTCCCTGTATTTGTCTAATCCTTGTCATGATTATCTTATTACCATGTTTTTCTTTTAGCACTGTTTTCAACCTATACTCAAAATTATCTCCATTATATTTGTATTTTAACTCTTTTGCCTGCAAAGTACTTTTATGGTATGAATCCTAAGGAGCTATGTGCTTACTTAAAATTCAAAACACCTGAAATTTTAAATCACTTTTCTTTATTTGACTCCATCCAAGCCACCATCACTTTGTCAACAGTGCAACAGGTCACATATTATTCATCCCTACACACACAAACACAGAAAACACCACATTGTGTTTATTGCACCAAAACCCGTGGCTGTCCCTGGGGAGTTCTCTGTTATAGTTTTTCACTGTAGGGGTACATAAAGAAACACAGACACATGCATTCATCCACCCACAGACAAAAAGCAGAGCTTTGTGCAGTGTGAGCCCATAAAGAAGCACATGGGTCTTTAGTGGCCTATGCACCTGTCACTGTGCTTACATTCACCCCTGAGAGAGAGGACAGAGCACAGTGGTAGGAGGAAATTAGTGTAGTGGGAAGTAGAGAGGTTAAGCACTAAAAGGGCCACTTGCAGTGGGTGCAGGATAGATTGTATGTTTGGATAGGGGGAGGGGAAGGCACTGAGGTGCTGAGTAAGCACATCTCTGTTGTCTCAATCAGGAGACAACTGTCATCATTATTTAGTTCCTTTCCACACCTCAAATACAAATATATTACCTCTTTCTGCTTTTATGCCTTTCTGTTCCCACCCTATTGTTTTTGCAATGGCTGGAAACTTTGCTGTCAAGGCCTTAGACATTATTAAAAATATGCGTATGCAGAGATTTTTAGTACAAATAATTGCTGAGAAGTTCAACACTCCAAAAGCAGTGCACATGAAGTCCGCTGTGGTGTGTTTTGATGTTTTGAAGCATTTCTGTGAGAAATTAGTGCCGCTGTAGCAAACACTGTTCCTAGGCACTCTAACCTTTCCCCACTTTTTGATGTAGGAAGAAAATAAATGCAACCCCTTCAACATGAACCCAAGAAAAGCAAAAGACTTTCAGACTACAGAAGGAGAGCTGAATCTATGAAAAATGCAGTAATATTCTAACCTCCTCTCTGCGTTCAGATTCCAGTCTTTGCATGTACCATCGAATCCGGGCCTGCTGAGATTTGGGGATACACTCGAAAAATGTGGAGTTGCTCTGCACCCCAAAGAGAATTTTCTCCTCCACACTCCCAGTACCAAGACCTGTAAAAACCAAAAGTAGTGTCTATGTTTTCTCAGGTTCTAACAAAGATACAGTATCTGATGTATGTCTCATAATTAGATTATTTTTTGTGACAATTATGCAGTACCAGGCAAAGGACATCACTGTCATTAAAAACATGTTTGTTGCATGACATGAAAACCCCAACAATGGATACACAAGCACACAAATTTCAGCTGTGTCAGCCAACATGAAAGTATCTTGGACATATTGTCATATTTCTTTGAAAAACTTCCGTTCTCCGTTGATTCTGTCTCTTCATGTGATCCCAATCTGACTCTGTAATCTTGACATCGGAGCTCCGTGGGAGCCATACCATCTGTTGCAGGATTTTTTTGTCTTTTTTGACACTGTTTATAGTTCTTCTTGAATCTGTCTGCGGGTTTAGGTTCATTATCAAGCAGACAGAATTTGAAGTGATCAGATGCTTTCCTGATTTTTTAAGAAATGCTTTACAAAAACAGACATAAAGTGTACATACTGTCTTCTGTGTCCCAGCACTGCATGGCAGGGTCTCCATTCTTGATGTCCTGTCTTCTAGCTCGCCTTGCAAGTAAACACAGAAACAAAGCAAAAAACAAGGAAGCGTATGACCACTTTAGTCTTCAGTATTGAGATGCAGAATTTAAAGTATAAAGAACTTATATGCTTTACGCTCACAGTCCAGTATTCTCCACGAGGGGAGTTTCACAAAATTAGCATCTAGCTAATTTAATATACATTGTGTACATTATATTAGTAGATTATCCACTCATGAAGTCCTTATTAGACATTTATCTGAATTCTATTCTATGAATTACAATTTTAGCATCACCATATTATCACAGTTAAAGGTTCGACAGGAATTAGACATTATAAAACAAACAGCCATAATTAGCCAAAAAAGCCAAAATCAAAGTTGGTAATAACACTGTTATATGAAAATTATGTGAAATTCTTTTCAGTCATTAAAGTAAGTAAATCCAGATTGATGTTAACACTGCAACATGCGAAAACTGAAAAACAAAACAAAACAAAAATCAGAAAAAGGGTTTTTAATACCTTTATTTGTGTTTCTCAATACTGCATTTTGTAAATCAGTCAAACAAATAGTTATTAAAATGAATGTTTCTGACACACTTCACGTGAATGCCAAATTTGCCATTACTTGTGATAAACCTGTGAAGAAATTGTCTGAGAATTACTATTTTTTCAAAAGCACTTAAAATGTAGGGAGGCATTAGCTTTATAGTTGTATAGCTAAAGAAGAAGAACCACTCCATTTTATTCCATAAGATAATCTTGTCTATCACTACAATAGGATATCAAAAAAAAAAATAAAAAAAAATATATATATATATATATATATATATACCACTACGCTATCCAGCCTTTGGAACAGAGGATCGCAAGTTCGATTCCCGCCTGGGGCGTCTGTATCCAGTAAGGGTCCTAAGGCTAGACCCCCTATGCTAAGCAAGCCTACCGCAGACATGAGCGAGACAGATAAATATGAAAGCATGCCGGCTCGGACGTCGCCCGGATCAACAAGGTCCGCGTCAGGTGTTGAGGAACCAGGGCACCCTGATGAAAAGTGGGCTACTGGAACAAGAAGGCATCGGTGGGCAAGAGACGAAAACAGGGCGTTGTTGGAATGAGATGTTGTTAATGCAGCACTACGGACAATACCTACAACCACGATTACCGACACTAACAAACTGATCTACAATACGGCAGCAGTGATCAGTGAGATGCTTGGCTACAAGTTGAACAGCCACAAGGGGCAGTACCCTCCATGGAGAAGGAGGCTAGAGGGCAAGATCAAAGTAGCACGGAGGGAGGTTAGCCAACTAACGGAGCTGCAGAAAGGTGCGACAAAGAAGGTGCATAAGAAATACAGCAAGCTGTCCATACCTGAGGCCTTGGAAACTGCCAAGCAAAGACTCACAGCCTTGGCCAGCCGCTTGAGGAGGTACACCAGTGAGATAGAAGGCAGGAGAATAAACCAGCTGTTCTCCACAGAACCAGCAAAGGTGTACTCTCAGTGGCAAGGGAACAATAAGAGAACAGCACCACCAAGGCTGGAGACGGAGCAATACTGGAAGAGCATATGGGAGAAGGACGCAACCCATAACGGCAATGCTCAGTGGCTAGTGGCTCTGAGGGCAGACCATAGCGACCTCCCTGAACAGGGTCCAGTAACCATCACAGTGGCAGATATCCAAGAAAGGGTCTCCAGTATGAAGAGTTGGACAGCACCAGGGCCCGACATGGTTCACGCCTACTGGCTAAAGAAGCTGACTGCACCCCACGAGCGTCTGGCAGCACAAATGAACCAGCTGCTAGTTAACGAGAGACACCCGGAATGGCTAACTGAAGGTCGGACGGTCCTGATCCCCAAGGACCCCAAGAAGGGACCGGTCCCCTCCAACTACCGACCAATAACCTGCCTCAGTACTACATGGAAGCTCCTGTCAGGCATCATATCGGCTAAGCTGAACAGGCACATGGGTCAATACATGAGCGGGACACAGAAAGGAATTGGCAAGAATACCAGAGGCGCAAAACACCAGCTACTGGTAGACAGAACAGTCAGCCGAGACTGCAAGACCAGACTGACCAACCTGTGCACGGCCTGGATTGATTACAAGAAGGCCTATGACTCAATGCCCCACAGCTGGATACTGGAATGCCTAGAATTGTACAAGATCAATGGGACCCTAAGAGCCTTCATCAGGAACTCAATGGGGATGTGGCGTACAACACTAGAGGCCAACTCCAAGCCCATAGCACAAGTTACCATCAAGTGCGGGATCTACCAAGGAGATGCTCTGTCCCCACTGCTGTTCTGCATAGGCCTGAACCCCCTCAGTGAGATCATTAACAAGACTGGCTACGGATACCAACTACGGAACGGAGCAGTTGTCAGCCACCTCCTGTACATGGATGACATCAAGCTGTATGCCAAGAGTGAACGAGACATCGATTCACTGATCCACACTACCAGGCTATACAGCAATGACATTGGAATGTCGTTCGGACTGGAGAAGTGTAGTAGGATGGTAACAAAGAGAGGGAAGGTAGTCAGAACTGAGGGGATTGAACTACCAGAAGGCAACATTGCAGACGTAGAGGACAGTTACAAGTACCTGGGGATCCAGCAGGCGAATGGGAACCATGAAGAGGCTAGAAAAGCTGCAACCACCAAGTACCTGCAGAGGGTCAGGCAAGTCCTAAGGAGTCAGCTGAATGGTAAGAACAAGATCCGGGCCATCAACACCCACGCCCTACCCGTGATCAGGTACCCTGCTGGGGTAATAGGCTGGCCAAAGGAGGAGATAGAAGCCACTGACATAAAGACAAGAAAGCTCCTTACCATGCATGGAGGGTTTCACCCCAAGTCCAGCACCCTGAGGCTGTACGCTAAGCGGAAGGAAGGGGGCCGGGGACTGGTGAGTGTCAGCACCACAGTCCAGGATGAGACAACGAACATCCAAGAATACATTGGGAAGATGGCCCCAACTGACCGAGTGCTCAGTGAATACCTCAGGCAGCAGAAACCCAAGAAAGAGGAGGGAGACGAGGAACCATCATGGAAGGACAGGCCCCTGCACGGTATGTACCACCGGCAGATAGAGGAGGTGGCTGATATCCAGAAATCCTACCAGTGGCTGGACAAAGCTGGACTGAAAGACAGCACAGAGGCACTAATCATGGCAGCACAAGAACAAGCTCTGAGTACAAGATCCATAGAGGCTGGGGTCTATCACACCAGGCAAGACCCCAGGTGCAGGCTGTGTAAAGATGCCCCAGAGACAATCCAGCACATAACAGCAGGGTGCAAGATGCTAGCAGGCAAGGCATACATGGAACGCCATAACCAAGTGGCCAGCATAGTGTACAGGAACATCTGTGCCGAGTACAACCTGGAAGTCCCAAGGTCAAAATGGGAGATGCCCCCAAGGGTGGTGGAGAATGACCGATCTAAGATCCTGTGGGACTTCCAGATACAGACGGACAAAATGGTGGTGGCTAACCAACCGGACATAGTGGTGGTAGACGAACAGAAGAAGACGGCCGTAGTGATCGATGTAGCGGTTCCGAATGACAGCAATATCAGGAAGAAGGAACACGAGAAGCTGGAGAAATACCAAGGGCTCAGAGAAGAGATCGAGAGGATGTGGAGGGTGAAGGTAACGGTGGTCCCCGTGGTAATCGGAGCACTAGGTGCGGTGACTCCCAAGCTAGGCGAGTGGCTCCAGCAGATCCCGGGAATAACATCGGAGATCTCTGTCCAGAAGAGCGCAGTCCTGGGAACAGCTAAGATACTGCGCAGGACCCTCAAGCTCCCAGGCCTCTGGTAGAGGACCCGAGCTTGAAGGATAAACCGCCCGCAGGGGCGTGCTGGGTGTTTTTATTTATTTATATATATATATATATATATATATATATATATATATATATATACACAGACACATACACACAGAGTTGAGGGCATCATCTTGTTGGCATTTTTATCTGTTTTCCTGCAAAAACATTTAGAGTGTACCAGTTTTGGGGGGTTTTTTTAAAGACGAAAGAAACAAGTTTCCTTGACCTCTGACTTGTGTTGCTCACTTGGGCTCCTTCAGTTTGTATTGATTTCTTCCTCCACTTCCTGCTAGTCCTGTGTGGTGGGACATCTGTAGCCTACATTCCCTGACACTCTGAAGGTCTGCTTTCAAAGAGCCCTGGAGGCCTCCACTATTGTACAAACCATAACAAAATCCCTACTGGGCAATAATATGGCACTATGAACCCAAAGTGTAGGGCACAGTTTGTTCAGAGCTTGGATTCATGCAAGCAAGCTCACAAACAAAAACACAGAACAGGATTTGATTTTCACCTCAAGGACCACACTCTGCAAGTGTGGAATGACAGTGTCAGCCGAAAACACGCTGAAACATCTTTAATCATTGCCTGAGAAAAATAATTACCTAATGGCTTGGAAAATATTGTGAGGTGAAGAGAATGAAAACAGAAAAAAAATTTAGGGAGAGCTATGAACGTCTGAGAGTTCCAGCATTAAGAACTAGCCTTGGAAACACACACAAACAGACACACCCCCTGGCAAACTATGGAACCAACGAGTCAGTGTTCACCGGTCCACATTTGCACTCTAATGATTTCCTTTTATTTTGGGGTTTGTTCAGATACTTGTTTCAGGCTTACTGCTTTGAATTAATGCATGAGGACATTTCAAAAATACAAAAGTACTACAAGTGTCATGTGCATACCTCTTAGAGGCAGGGATATATCGTGCGCATGTGTGTCCATCCCAGGCACAGTAGGGATCTCGTGCCAGGCAGCATTCAGCACAAGCCTGGCCATATAGGTGGCATCTGCTGAGTGAAACCTGGGCTAGACCCTCACTTGAACCCATGTAGAGCTGTTGCTATGGTAAAACACAACATTGCTTCAAGACATACAAACATACAAAGCACCTTCAACTTTAACAATTGTACATCATCAACAGAGGACATATCACTATGTTGCGTAAATAGTTAATTAGTTAAGTCTGCTAAAGCTAAAACTATTTTTTATGGAAAAAATATTTGTTCTATATTAAAATTATATTTATTAAAAAGTTTTCCTCTTTCCGCATTAACATTCTTCATCTATCAGAACATGTTTGCTTTAAATGAATCACACAGATTTAAAGATTTCCCCTTCTTAGCATAACATTTTCTTTGTACACTATGTACTATTTTTATAAAGAAAAAGATTCTACGCAACATTAAATACACTACATTTAAACTGCTCTGAGTGAGTAAAAACCGGCTTCCACTAAATTCTTGATCTGTTGCAGATAAAAATCACATTACAATACAGAACGAAGATGGCATTAATCAACAGAAACAAGGCTGCTAGGACAACAAAACATAAACACCTACACAGAACAGTAGACTACAGACGGAAGGCCTTGAGTGAACTATGTGAGGTGATACTTGTGATTTGAAGGCATTTTTGCTTCAGTGTAGTATGGGATGTAATTACAGAGTTGGCACTGAAACAAGTTCATATAAAACAGATCTGGTAGTTTCTTGAAGTTGTTTCACCAGCTTCGTCAGCTCTAAGCTTGGAATTTAAGAAGAAGCTTCTTGGATAAGAAGTGAAACGTCTTCAAGAAACTTAAAGAAATCTTTGCTGCTCTAAAAAGTTCGGTTGCAAGGTTGCTATTGATCTAGTATGCTTTAGTGCATAGTCTTCATATGGTTTCCTTTGTGGTGTAGGACCAATTTAAGATAGCGTATACTGCTGAAAGAATGGCTGCATATAGATATGAGTCTGATATATTTTTTATTTTATTAAAAGCACATGGTTAAGTTTCTTAAATGATTACTACTTTTTGAAAATCAGGTTATAACTTAAAGAATACTCCAAGATATTCTTAGGTTTCTGTGAAGGCTGACATTTGGCTTGCAAAATGAATAGGCTGAATTTCGCAGTTGCAACTGGATCTAGTCTGACTCGCCTCAAAACTCTAGCGGGCAAGCACACAGACACAGGTCAAACACTGTTGGTGATTAATGGAAGCTGTGATTGGGGTTGAAGTGTCTACTGACATTCCTGACCCTTATATAATGAGGCGTAAGGGTGAGAGAGCTACAAGAAAATGGGGAAGACTACAGACAGAGAGGAAAACCAAAACATGAATAACAAGATAAAAACTATATGATTTGTGCCACACAAGCCATGTGCATATAACTTAATGCATGTGGCTTAATCGAAGCGAAGAGCAAATTTGCACGAACAATTGCACAAAGTGTGCAGAACAAACCTGTTTAGACGAGATCTCCAAACTAAGGATAGGCGAGGGATTCTGCAAAAAGAAAACAAACTCCATCAACTTAAAAGCTAATGGATATTAATTATTGGAGGTCAGTTATGTATTCATTACATATAAATATTTCACTGTCTTATAAGTCACTGACAGCTACACTATGAGGAAACAAAACTCAGCAAATCAGTGTGTAACATATGTGTGTATTTATTTGAATAACTGTGTTTTGAACTAAACCTGGAACACTTGAAGCTCTTCAAGAACCACTTCCTCTGTTGACCAGTTTTCTTGAGTGATGCTCACTACCTTAAGAATGGAGCCAACATCTAGGAGAGTGAGACAGAAAGAAAGAGGGGTGAAATTACCACCAGAATATCTTCAGAGAGTTGTTTGAGAAGCATATAAAACATAGACTGCATATGTTCATTTCACCCTACACAAAATCTGTCCAATGCCAACGAAAACAACAAGTAATATACTGCCCTCTGCTGGTCAAATGTTGACTTTCACAAAAACTAGGAGGAGAGGTGTGACTCACCTGTTCCCACGAACATAACCTCATACTGGCCATCATCTGCCAAAACTCTGTCCACCACAATGTGAGTCAAGGTGTAGTCAACTTTGACACGTGTGAACACAGGACGACCAGTGAGAGGGTAGACAGAGTGATACATCAGAGGGTGGAATCGAATAAATCTGACAACTTCATCCGGGAAGTCTTTAGTGGTCTTGATCTTTGGATCATATGTTTTGCTTGGGCACTAAAATTACAAAAAAATCACAGCTGATTAGTGACCGTGTTTTCTATATTTCCTTCCACCAGTTCAACTATGGAGCAGATTCACTCAAACAATTTATTGGTATGTGTCTCCTTCTAGAGGCTAAAATAAGAACAGCAGGAGACAAAGCATATGTGAAACATCTGTTTCACACTTGATGTCAGCACCAAATTGTCCATCACATTACTTCGCTTAATTAATCTTTTTTTTTTAAACAAAATGAAACATGAATCTGATTAACTTCTCAAGTAACCTCATCAAAGTATAAGTGAAGGTCATGCATTACCAGGCTGCATGTGCAGATGTAAGTATGCCCTCCAGCAAACCTTTACATTAAAGCCATGTTTATAATTTTTCGATTAGGAGGAAAATTAAACACCTTATCCAATATATGGAAACAGAATAGCTAACAGTGATAAGTGCAGAAGGTACAGATGATTTCTTTTCTTTTTTTTCCTTTATGCTCTTCTCTTTGGCATACAACATACCGTTCCAGGACGGGGATATGGTATCCTCCCCTCATATTCTACCCAGCGGTGGTCAGGCCCCTCCTTGTGGGCATAAGGTCCATTAAACACAGCCCTTATGTCTGCCATGCTATAAACACACACTGCTGAGCCACGGAAAATGGAACTGGAGGAAAAGTAAAAAGAACAGGTCAGGTTAATGCTTGGAGAAACAGGAAAGGACCTGAGGTTGTGTTGATAAAAATCATACCTAGAGGTTGTGAAGACTGCATACACTATGGGGTTTTTGTCATCTCTGGTTGGGAGTAGAAAGACATCCTCTACAAAATAAAAAAGAATGAAAAAGGTTTTTTTTTTGTTATCAATAACCAAACAGAAAAGATTTAGGCGAGCATCCAACAATAAATTGCAGTATTGAAGAACTGCAGTTGGTAGCACCATTAGCCATGTGGTACTGTTGATGCATTTCCGTCCTTGTATGAAATTTTCTCCGAAGACAGTTTTTAGAACATATAACTGACTTTATTGACCAGATTTTCAGTTTTTAATCTTACAGTCACTTACGGAGCTGATCAAAGTGTGTGTCCACGCCATCTGGCCCAGGGATGGAACACACAAGTCTGGCTTTGAGGAAGGTTGTCCATTTATTGGTCAGACTCCTCAGCCCACCCACATCATTCTGAAACACAACCACACACTCTGTAACAAACCATCGTCGGAGAGTGCAGCTGTCCAACGCGGCTGAACACGAACTGTAATTAATAATATACATTTGAGCATAAACACTGTAATCCAGCCAATGCGGTTGGAAAGACAACACAGAGCATCATAGACTGACTCAGGTTTCCTTCACTAATTATGAAAATAAACAAGTGAACCACATGCCTCTGGAATACATTTGCTTGTTTAACTTGCACAAAGAAGACCTTCAGTCAGGAGTAACTGAAAAGTGAAAGGAAAACACTGAGAAGGGTGAAAAACATAAAAGGAAAACGAACGAAGGGGAAGTGCAGCGTGATGAAGGGGAGAATTCAAATGCTGATTAATAATGCAGGTTTTACTTTAGCATATGAATTGCTGTTTTAAATTGAGACCTTTGACTGAGGTATGGTAAGAGGGTTCAAGTGTATCTCCTTGTCACGCATTGAAAACTTAAAAGACCCCCCTTGTTAAGCTTAGCCAAGTGGTGTAGAAAGGGCTGTTATGGTTTAACACACAAAAAACACACTTGTGCTTAAGAGACCCCCCAAAATGTAAGCACTTAATGGGGATCTTTCACAATGGTGATAATCTTCAAAGAGGATTGATGTAAGGAGCTGTCATTCACAATGCAGATAATGAATATGAACCAAAGTACAAAGTACATGAGAGACACATGGCTCAGAGAAGAAAGGGCCGTAATTCAGACGAATCTCCTTCCAGTCTGCTTTACGGCTTATTCTCAAGTCATAACCACGCTGAAAGCTTTTTTCTAAGAATGCAGTCCTGGATCGTGCATGCTAATATTAAACTGCCATGTCACCTAGTTCCACTCTGAGAACTAATTGGACACTGTGTTATAATGCCTGGTCTGTTACATAGAGTTGAATCTTTTGATTTCTGGATTTTGTCATTTATTGGCTGTTTTCTGTTTGGTCTTATAGCTTGTTTGTTTTTTTTAAGTATAGGTTGAGGGCTTGATTCCTGTTTTGATTTCATTTTTCATCCTCACAGTTATGTTTAAGCATCTTTGAAAAGGTGATTTACAGTGGCTTGTAAAAGTATTTGGCCCCCTTGAACTTGATCTTGTCTCCCTCTCTTGATTGCCTATATCCGTCTAGTTTGCCCCAGCTGTCTCCACTTCTATAGTCTCTATTTTGTTATTTTTCTTATGCACTTTGTATTTATGGACTTTTCATCAGCCATAATAAATGGCTTGCTTTTTGTTGTGTTTAGTCTGCCTCTTGCGACACACGGCGTGGTGCACAGAGAGCCTCAGATCATGCAACTGCACTGCTTATGCCCACAGTCAGCGGTGCAGCTAAACTTATAGTTGTTTTGACGTGCTGTCAAACAGAACCTAAGTGGCAGTGACACATTATCATCAAAGGTCTTTCAGAAAAGAAATTACCTATATTGACCTCAGTGACTGACTAGGTAGTAAAAACACAGCAAACATAAGAATTCTAACCATGATTTACTGCTCCAGACAGAGTTGGATGACCACAAAAGAATTGGGATAAAATTGGGAACGGTTCCTCCCAGCCAAAGATTCACACCCGATCAGGACACCATCTCTTATTTTACAAGGTCCTATCTACTTTAGGCTGTCTTTTCAAGCACCAGTTCTCTGCACCTACCACATCACTACCTGGGCCTCAGCATCCATGTACAGCATCATACTGTCTTTCATTGGCTTTGCTGTTGCTCATTAGTTATATTGTACCAGCCCCTTCACCCCTCCACCATATATCTCCTACTTTCCACACCTCTCTCCTGTAATATCTCACCTTGCACACACGAGCCACTCGGGAGAGGATGCTTTTGTCGTTGCCTTCCCAGGACACCTCGCGGAAGAAAAAGTATACTTTATCATCATCTGGATTGTAGGTGTCTGCAATGGGATGGGCAGCTATAAACCTGGCCTCTGAAGACACAGAATGGAGAAGACAGAGGAAATAGCATTAAAATGAGTCATAATGGTTTTGGCATGAACTGCAGTCTTAAGGTAGCATTAAAACTACACTTAGCATGTGTTTATTTACAGTCGTCTTCTATTTCTGCAGAGAGATTTGATGTATTACTCTCTCTTTACTAAGTGTAAAGCTGAAATGGGCTGAACATAAACTGCACTTAGGTACATGCAGCAATTGTAAAAGAAGATTTAATTGACTTTAAAAGCAGTTTTGTTTAAATTTACATGATTTTCAGTATGTCAGGCAGTATCAATTATGCATCAGTGCAGCATAAAGATACTCTTACACACCCTGGGTTAAACATCTGATTTATATGTGAGCATCTATGACAAGTGTATATGTCCTGTACTTAAAATCTTTGTTACTGGTTTTTTTGGCCTCTTTGGGACGTGAAAGCAATCTATCAACATGAAACTGACACGATACTTCTGGATGTTTTAGCAAACATTTAAAAACTGAATAATGCAAAGGGAAGTACCTGCTGTGGTTAGACACAATGCTGATGCAAAGGTGACAGTAAAGCAGGACAGCTGTGAATGCAACAATTGCAAAAGAAGATACAGCAGAAAAAACTTCAAACAGTCCAGACATCTGAATGGAACAAAAGAGTTGAGAGATAATTCTATGTCTAAAATGTTTTTGATTGTGAAAAAATTAAAAAATAAAACTGTCACGGGCCTATGAATAAGAATATATTATGTTTTATGTGATGATCCTGTGTGTATGTGCAAAATTTAATCTGTACACTTGCTAATTATCAAATGGATAATTAATACTTACAATACAGTTAAACTGCACAAAGCATGTTTGCCTCTGAAAATTACTGGAGGGCAAATAGGTTATTTTTGGATTGATTTTAACTGTTCAAGCTACTAAGAATTATTAGTAAGCACAATTTTCAACTGCATTTACGGCACTGGACACTGTATTAAAACAACAAGTGCTACATATGATGTAGGAAAATAGCAGTGAGGAGAAACAACAGCATGTTGCCATCAGGAGGGAACAGGCCCAAAAGTTTAAACGTTACAGTGACATTACATCAACATTAGCTCGACACCTAGAAGCCAAGCCAACCACTAGAGGGTGATTCACCAACTGGAACGGCTTAATGCATTATAGCTAACACATGGGACAGAAGGTCATTGCTAGTCATGAAAAGATGTTCCACTGAAACACCGAAACACTCCAAGAAATGGGAAAACGAGACGGCCGCCCTGTGTCGACACTCACTGTTTACACACACCGACAGAGAGGGAGAGGGAGAGAGAGAGCGCGCATTACTCCAAAAATCTCTGACTGTGTAGTTGTGAAATGTGGAGACCATGTGTAAGGATTTAGGTTCTAGTGACAACTGTTGATACATGACAGTCCATCAGTGGCTATAAAACACTGCAAACAGGAGATGATGCAGAGAAGGTCACTCCTCAGTCCTAAGTGATGACTGTGCATACCCCTGGCTAACATGCGGTGTGACTAGGACTGTGAACTTTGTGGCACACTGTAAATTCCCCCATAGGCGTGGTCCTGGCTCAGCTATGGCAATCATATAAAAGTTCCAGCTAAATGAATAAGTGGGCTATTTCCTTCCCTCTGGAATGCCAATAACCATCCTGAGGGCACAGAGAGGCTCTTTGTATCAGTAGAGAGGCCAGAAGTTATGCGAAAAAGCAATAACAAGTTTGGAGTGCAGTTAGCCTGTTAACGTGGATGTGTGCAAGCATGTGTGTACCATTGATCCAGTAGTCTTCAGAGATGTCTGTGCGTATGTAGTGTTGGTCAGGAGGAGGGCCTAGGGAGCGTGTGAACGTTGTATCTTTGCCCAGGAAGTCTGAAGATGTGCCCGCATACAGGTACTGATCTAAATAGAAGCACAGTAGACTTAGAAAACAAATCTTACAGCTTTTTTTTAAAATATATACAGAGTGAGTAAGATTTCAATTAACATACTGAAACAAGCACATGCAAGAGACACAATTGTTTTGCATTTGTCTGCCAAGTAACTTTGTTGTTGCTGCAGAGACACGTAAGCTTGTGTCTTTCTTGGCCCCCAAAAATGGGAGAAGAGGGCTGACAAACAAAGACGTGAATACAAATTCATTGCAAATAACTGAGTGAAGTGAAGCGTGGCGCTCTGCAGCTATAAAATTCTCGCTCAATAAAAGATAAGGCAGGTAGAGGACTGCTTTGTACAATGTCACCTATGTTATCTTACCTGTGAGGACTGATGTAAATGGCTGCAAGGGATCAAAAGGACATTTCAACCTGCCAGACTCCTCTGTATTAGACAGCAGCTTCAAAACGCCATCCTGAGAGACAAAATTAAGAGGATTCACAAACGTAAGCCTATTTATCAACTCTAGTCAAAATGTTTCCTGTTAAGATCCACTCATGCCCACTTTACCTTTTTGTGGCCAGTGATTTCAATGAATGCACAAGTGGGGTGGAAGGCCCCTGTCCCACAGGCATAGACATGTGTTCGGTTGTAATTGTGAAGGACCCTGATAAAATTTGCACATTCCAGCTGGAACAAGCAGGGACAGAAAAAGAACATGTATGAGGTACACTGGAAGGACTGATTGAACACATACATTTAGTAATCACAGAAACTTAAACTCTATAGATTTCTTTAGAAACACTTACATTTTCATTTTTGCCAGCCAGTTTGCACATTTCCACGTTTTCCTTCAGAGCAGGCCAGTGAATCTAATAACCGATAAATCAGAAATATTTCACTTCTTACAATATAACCAGAATGTGAGCATTCAGCTTCAATTTACAGAAGACCTGTTGCAGTTCTTTATAGTTTGCATGCTATGCTAAAATATTTAAGTTCTAAAGATTAAAATTTTTAGTTGTGACAAACATTCCATGAATAGCTGTTACTTTTGAGAATATAGAGTAGGATACAAGATTTTCTGGATTTCTTTTAGATCCTTTAACCTGATTCTTTTTTAATGAATCATTTAAGTTAAAAAGTTAAAAACAAGAGCAGGCCCCTGAACGCTCAAACTTTTTTTCCTTTGCTTTAAATAGTATTTTATTTCATTCTATTTTTACACCGAAATATGCTAAACGTAAAATGAAACGAATAATAACTACACAATGTTTTCCCTTTCATCTCTATCCATATCTAAATAACAAATGGCATTTTTACAGTATTTAAACACCTGTAGGTGTTGTGGTAAGAGATTAGCTGAGGTATAACATCCAGCCTCCCTTTAATGTATGCCACCATACTCATACATGTGTTATAACAGGCTTATGTGCTTAGTGTGTTACCTCCACTAAATCCTACCATGGAGTGCTATCCCCAAACTTATTCATGGCTGAATTATCATACAGAAAAGCAGCGTTACAATACGATGTGCTGAGCGAGAACAGTGTGCCTGTGTTAGTGTTTTAATTAGTTTTGGATAGAGTTTCATGTGATCGCTGACCTTGTTTCACCTAGTAAAAATTAGTAATTTACTTTAGCATATATAGTTATTTAAAGACTTAAATTATGTGGACTTCTTTATAATAAAAGGTAAAAACACCTGGAATGCTTGTGAGCATCATAAAGCCTTGACTTTCAGGGGCTTTTAGTCCCAGTCCAGGTATGCGTGTTCAGTAATTGATAAACACTGAGTTTGCAGGGGAAGATCACATTCACTGTCAAGGCTGATCTCACAGGGCTCAGAGGGTCAGACTTTCTGTTCATATCTCTCTGGCATCTATATCAATGACCCCTAAAGGCAACAGAAATGCAACACTTTAAGAGCAAGACTAAGAGTTAAAACAACCAGATAAAGATCAAATAAACACACCGTCTTCCCACCAGTGGATCAACCTCAGCTGCATAAACACACTAACATCTACAAATGTTAACATATGGCATCCATCCAAATGCATTTGTGTGTTTGTGTAAAGTCTGAGCATGCACACTCCATCAAACGTGTACATACCTGATGTATGTAATTGTGTGTGTGCTCCATGCGTGTGGGTGGGGGCAAGGACTCTCTAAGTTGATGACCCTGACCTTACCAGACAGATAACTTCAGACTGCTATTGACTGAAAGATCAGTGTTTCCCTAAAACAATACATAGCTGAGTGCATTTCAGGAAAATTCTAATGGAAAAAACGATTCTTATCGCCCTACTTAATTGCCAAACAGGTTGCAGCTAAATGTTCCATAATGCATTGTTCACATTAACTAACAGGTCAGTTAACGTGTGTGAAAGCTTTAAACTTAAATTTCTTCAAGTAATATAAGGTTTTTAAACCAATACTGAGGTATTCTTGTTTTAGTTTTACAAGTGGTCCTCGATATTTTACTCATTTATACTCTACCCAACTCAGCTTGTTTTGTTGTTTGTTTGTGGCATTTCAAACAGGAAGTTGGAGAGTGCCTTCTGGTGGAAAAACATCAACACTCATAAGGTTGTGCACCTGGTTTCTTCTTTATTTTTATAATTTTCATTTATTGTCCATTATAAATGCTAATACAGCTATATCAGCAAACAGCTAATATCTATAAATATATTGACCCTCCTGATATATCATTCTGGCTCTACTTTACACTCCTGTAAATATATTGACGTGTACCTGAAAAAATGTCTACATTATAACAAATGACATGAACAAATGCAAAAATAAGCACTGCTCTTTACTTAGTACAGTGTCTTGTCTTTTTACGCCTGAACCTGGATTATTCTTTATGCTATATTGATTTTACACATGCATATATATAGCATACCTTTGTAGGGGATTCAGCCAGATTGTCAGGGTCAAGCAAGTAGATGTGGTCCCTGGCTCCCAACAGAAGACGACCCCTCTCTTCATCCAACAACAGCGACTGCGAATGAAGGCCATTGGAGGGGCTCAAAAACAGAGATACACTGCCCACCTTCAGCAGTTCTGTCCCAGTATGAGAAAGACACAGACAAACACATTAACAAATATCCCCACTGCCATGTAAAATGCAGTATTGTGAGTCAAATTAAACTAAAGTGAAAAAACATATTTTGGTAGGACTACACTGTGGGGCGCAATTTATTCTCAGCAGTTTAAAACCAGTATAATCCCAAAGACAGTCACTGAGATGAAAAAAGTCTCGACTTAAAGTTGCATAATCCTGTTTAGCTACACATGCTCATAAATACGATTTTTTTTTTCAATTTAGATAGCATAGTATCTCAGTAAGTAGACTTTTAGACAGGAATACCTGTTGTTCATCCATTACACAATAGTACGATTTTGCTACTCACTTGTACATTTTTATGCAGAACACGTACTGTTTTTATATGAAATTATATATACAGTTTGCTTGCTTTAGACCTGGACTCGCAGCTTGTAAGGTCCATAGGTTTCTGAAAGCTGAATATGTTCGACATTTTTAGCTCAGGATCGTGTCTTTGATCTCCATTAGAGGAACTCTCTTCTATCACGAGGCTCTTTTCAGCGCACCACACTTGCCACATGCCTTGAGTAAACACTGGCTCGGTGCAGAGGAGTCCTGTGGGAGTCACTCTGAAAGGATTGACACTGTGATTACCCTCTTGGTGAGAATGATTGGAGAGGTTACCAACCTTCAATATTTGAACTTTTGGGACCCCTCCTCACCACACAATCTCCCTTAATACCTCCCCTTTACACTGAACCCCCATGTGCTGATGTATCTCCCTCCTACACACATATCATGCCCCAAACAGACAAAACTCACAAAGAGATTAGGCCTGCTAGCCCTTGGTGTGGTGTGCAGTAATCTGTTCTGTAAACACACAGCACTATGAGCCTATTGAAGCTTAGCATAGTCTCCACACATTTCTTCAAAGAGGAGAGCCCTAAACAACATGAAAACCTCTTGATTAGCTTTGTTATTGGAACTCAATGTTGCTTTCATGCACGCAGTTATTGGAGTAAGACTTGATCAAGCTTTAGACTTAGAGACCTCTTCAGAGCTGTAAGCAATGCCTGAATCTGCCCTTTCTCACATGTAGCACATGGCAGGAGGTCAACTGCATCAGACACATTGTCACTGCTAAAAATACCTCATATGGTGAAGGATAGGGGTGTGCAGGATGCAGGTCACATCACACCCATATGCTTGCTATGATTTATCCAGACAATTATCCTGCTCAATTCCCATTTGTAATCAAAGACTTTGTAGCTACCAGGGTAACACGTTCATTTATTGAATGATCCATCTGGTCATTTCTGTTTTCACTTGTAGCTCCACCAAAACCTGATTATGGTGAAACAATTACAGTCTCAGGAATAAATATGCAATGTAGGATGCCTCTGGTTTCAGAATATTCAGAGGAGCATGGCAGACACTATTATATTTTAGGTCAGACAGACATATTGATTAGAAGCTAATGCTACATGTTCACTAGATGAAAACTAAAGTTCTTGGGTTTTTATTTTAAAGCAGTTTGTTTAGAGGTACTCCCTCAATGAGGGATTTTTACTTTTTATAATTTCACCCTTTAGTCATTGAATCTGTATTTGGGCTTACGTAAAGCTGATGCAATGCTGGAAGCAAATTCACTGCTGGGTGGTGTTGCTTTTGAACAGTGTCCACTAATGAAATGATGACAAGAGGAGCAGGATGCATGCACTTGGTTAAGCTTTTGTTATTTTTGACAGATTTGTCTTTGCCTCAGTGATTCTCACTGAGAGAACCAAATATGGATATTGCTGTCAAATAGCCATTCACTTTAGTGAAGATTAAAGTAGCATGTAGCCAAATTAAAGGCAATCAGACTACATGACATGATAAAGTACGTTACTTTACTGGCTTGGAAGAAACATAAAATAAGACAAACCGTAGAGCTAAATACTAGGCTAACTGCTGAAAAAACAGTGTCCACAGTAATCTTTATTCCTGCAGCTACTTGCATATGTTTTTGTTGGACACATACAGTAGGACATGCATATGTATCTATTTCCAGGCATAGTTGGTTTTAGAAGCCTTGACCAAAAGACCAAAAGCTTTTGGAGGTTGAAGTCAGAATGAGTTCACTTTCAGGTCACAGTGGGGATTCAATTTTATGGAACAAAAGTTAAGTTAATATGTGTGGTTCCTTGTAGCTGATACACAGCATTAGGGATGACGACTTTGAAGTAAAGTTTGCACTCAGGTTTGAGGAATGCAAAAATATAACTTCCTAACTTTTGGTGGCACAAAGCAAACACACTTGGTTTATGCAAAGCCACATACATGGACACAGAGCACATTTATACGGTCAGATGATATCCACACAGCAGACTGATGGATCAGTAAGTGAGAAACATTTCACTTTGCTTCATGTTTAAGTGCTACAGATCATCTCCATAAACTTCACTAAATTCTCCTCTTACCATTTCCTCTGCCTGTTGCACAAGTCACATTCAAGTAAGAAAAAAAAGATGCACACTGAAAGATGGAAAGATGTATGACAAGAAAGAAAAAAATGAAAAGATAAAATCCTATGTCAAACAGCAATATTGTTTGAATTAAAACAAACATCAGCAATATTTAGTTCTTACCTCTATGGCTGAGTTTGACCCTGGGGACACTCTGTTTGATGCTTGCTCCAACAGGGAGGATGGCCAACAAAATCAGTCCAAACAGTGTGACCTCCGGATGGAATAGAGCCATAAACTTCTTCCCTTTGCCTCCATAATTACTGCCAGACAAGCAGAACATAGCCCCAACCTCATTCCAGGTCTGATTGCCAGAGTCCTCTTTCTTCATACTGTGTGGAGTCATCTTGTAGTGTTTTCACTTTGTGCTTTTCTGCAACCTTGGAGGGAGACCAGTGTAAAGAGTCAAGCTAGGGAGGAGCAATCATAAGTGTATGAGGATGCAAGCAGTCTCATCTAACTCCAGAGAGGGGGAATATACACAAACTTCTGTGGCTGTTTCGCCATGGAGCCCTACAGGCATGTCCCCTTCCTTTGCCCATCCTACATCAGCTGTTGCTTGTCACCGGCTCTCCTTTTGTTTCGCCTTTAAATCTGTTTGCCCCAAACAAAGGTCAGACTAACAAAACAGTTGCATTCTACCACTTTTCATCAGGCACGTCTCCGCTTTTCTCTCTCCTCCCATATCCTTTTCACATGGATAACTCAACTTAATTCTTTGCCTTAAGGATACTTGCCAGTAGCTTAAGGATTGGTTGATGACCCTGTCACTTCCTCCTTTATACCATGTAAAAAATGGGCCATGCCCTGTTTAGGACGTCACAATCAATTAAAAATGCCCAGACATTAGTTCACATTCTGAAAAGTTAGCTGTCTGACTAGGATTGAAAAGCTGTGCTTTTAAATAAATGTGTGGTTTAGAATAAGTAGCAGGAGCACAGACTGTTACAAGTTTAAAAAAAAAAAAAAAAAAAAAAAGAAGCAAGAAGGAAAAAAGACAAGAACTAAAAAATAACTACTTACTTGTTATATTCTGAAAATCTGTGTTTTAATAAATTTATATTTTTTTCAGTGGTACTTGGACACCTAAAAAGTGAAGCAGTGGAACTAGTATATAAAGCTTTGTCACTGAACCCTGATACTAATTTTCCTTCTTAAAATTAAAGTTGCTTGTCAGCACAATTCATACAATACAAGATAATATTCAGATTAACTTTACCACCTCTTCAAGAGTGCAGAATCATGCAAAATGTTTTTTTACACACATTGCAGCTTCATGAAATCTGTGCCCTTTATTACACCGTTGATGCATTCATTGCATCTTCTAAGTACAGACTGAGTACCGTCCCTGTCTTTAACCTGCATTCCTGCAAATCCCACAGCCATTAGGATACTAATTAACCAGACTATTGATGGAGAAATTAATGAATGCATTGAAAGAATGCCTCCCCTTAAGACCTTTTGCCACCATCATTACTTTCCTTCCACCCAGTTTCAGAAAGCACACATCAACCTGTCAAGTGACAACATAAACAATGTCAAGCTAAAGCTAGATTAGATATGACATTCACACTCCTATATCTCTAATATTGACAGCATGTATGCTCCTTAGAAGTCCACCACATATAGAGAATAGCCATTTGATAATGTGTAAGCAGCACCTTAAAAAAAAAAGGTGATATCCTGAGTAAATATACTGACCCGGGTCTTTGCCCATTGATTTGTACTGCAAGGTAAAATGTGAAACAGATATTAGGTGTTCGACTACAACTCACTTAAGTTTATTTGATTTCTTTCTTCAGTCATCTGATGTTTAAAACTGTAGCTCTTTGTGCAGAAACAGGGGTGAGCGGCACCCTTCCAAGTGCCCCATAGCTTTAAAACGAAGAGGATTAGACTCTGATAAACAGACTGGTGTTTATTTAGGATGACAAATTGAGACATGTTCACACCTTCAGGGTTAGAAATACAGATATAGAGCTCTGCGTGATGGATGGGCAATCAGCAAAGAGAGTGAGAAAGTTAGGAGGCTAAAATCCCTGTAGTCTTTGCACTTTGTGAGCGATACTGATAGTGCTGATGGTGAAGCTTATCCTCCCTACAGTATTTTCAGGAGAGCAGTGACACAATTTCACTCAAGTGATAAGCACTTCAGTAATGCATCTCTTTTCACAGCTTGAGTGCCCACATCTATCTGCAGCACAGACATGTGCAACACCCCGCTAGAAGAATGACCCCCAGGAAAAGAAAAGTACAAGTCTTGGAAGAAAAACAAAAAAAAAAAAATTCTTGAGTAATAGATGACACACACTGGAAGAGGAATACCAGAGTACCAGTGAGTCAGTACTTTGAATGTGTCAATAACGGAAATGAAAAGAGAAATAAGGGAAAAAGTGCACAAGAGATGTGAATAATGGGGGAAACCAACTTCTTGTGCCATGTAAGTTAAGCTAACACCCCTATTTCCTGGTGACTAGAGTCCTTGTTGTCTTTGGCAGCATGGCCGGCACACAGTGCAGGGTGTCAGGAGAAACAATCCTGATAGAGATGGTGACAGATTTAAAGCTAGCAGCCAAGGGCTCCTGGCTTCTGATCTCTCACCAACACAAAGCACCTTTAAATATACTGACTCTTCTGTTTCGGTTTAAACAATACAGTCTTTGCATGCCATAAAACATCTACTCAGTTAGTATTATCAGTGAATCTAGTAGCCGACACGCTGTACAAGAATCGTAAAGAGAAACTAGCTCAAGTGAATACACAACAGAAGTTGCCAGCAGTCATGAGAAAAGAGCAGATGGTGAAGAAGTGCTCTGGCTATGGGCATGCTTGCACCAAGACCACCCCTAATGAGGCATTTAGCAACACCCAGGTGCCCTGTAGAGTACACTATTATCTAACTCCTCCATCTCCACAGGACGGAGTGCATTAGCACAGCTATTTGTCTTTATTCCCTGACCACAGGCACTGACCTAGCAGAACAACATAGGTAATTGTTTCTAGTTCTCAAGACATTAATTGTTTTTCTTGGCAAGAGTCAATCATCTTTTCTTTAGCCTTGTATTTAAGCAAGCATGCAACTCTCTGTGTGTGAGCTAATGTCTCACAGGAAAAATGCTAAAAATACAAACTACAAAGAATATGGAAGAAACATTACATTTTAAAGTGGGTTTACAAACTATAACTCCAGGTATAGATGGAAGTAATTAAGGAAACACGTCACTGTTCCATAAAGACAGGAATCAACCTTACTTTTTGTGTTTTAAACATGTCATGTCTTTTATTTTTATGTTAGACTTTATGACCACATTAAAATAACAGTAGCAAAGCGGTCAATAAGATAAGCTGTCAATAAGACTGATATAAAGGCTCATAATCAGCGGCTTTAAAGTATGCTAAGAATTAACTGCTGGTTCAAAAAATGTAAATATGAAACATGTGATCCCTGAGGTATTATTCTGGATACAGATCAATCCCCCCCCCCCACAAGCTACAATACATGCTTATAAATTAAAGCTTTTGGGGAACTTTCATAGTATAAATGTGCAAGTTTTTTGTGTAATTTGTTTACTCATTTTATTAAGTAGACATCAAGGCCACAAACTGTGATTCATTTAGCATTTTAATCACTAACGTGATCCCACATTATCTGACTGAAACATAATATCTAACAGCGCAGCATGTGCATCTCCTGGGAAATTAGATATCGCTCCAGAAATTGAATGCAAAATAAATTGCCAAAATATCCCCTTACACGCAACATTTAATCATCCAAAACATGGCGATGGAGACAGAGATGGGCTTTGAAGTTGAAAACACTGCAGTAAATTAGTCCCAAATAATGAAGGAATACACAGTGCAAACCATGCTTGGTAAAGATGCCAAATATTTCTCCATGCAACAGAATAGGGTTGATCCCTTACTAGTCGGACAGCCTGGATTTCCTGAATCTGTTACCTTTAATTATATCATATAACTTCTAAAATGTTTGATTACCAAATCTCTCTCATAACTATACAAAATTAGACTCTATGGACTCCAGACAGTTGATTCTACTGCCCTGGTCAATGGATTTAAGTGAGGATTTCCCAGAGTAAATGACTCAGGTCTTAATTTAAACAATATAAACCCACAATTACACTTTGCTCTAAACCAATATGCATGAAATCTGTGAATGGAAATGCCTAGACAAGAGGACATTCCAGTTGAATTCCTTCCGTTCTGGAAGTGAAGAGTACGTCTGTGGGGAATACCAAAGAAGATGGATTAAATTCCAACCCTGAGGTCCTGTCTGTCTACATTTTGTCTGTATCTCAAAACACTGGAAAGGGAACACTCCTGGAGGCTGCTGGTATGGAAACCAAATACACCAAAGCCAAATAATATGCCCCAGCACCTGTTATTAAAGACTCACTTTATGTTTACTGTTGGTCTTCAACAATAGAAGACAAGGTTCACAGCTCCTCACAACCACATGCAGTTGTCACAGAGCCAGCTCAGGTCTCCTGTCACACACAAGGGTTAATGGAAAGCTGGGAGGAAGCAGCAAGGAGTGATACTTGATCTATGGTTTAACTCGTCAACAGAGAAAATGGCAATTAAAAAACATGAGCTGAAAACAAAGCCAGGGAATATGTAAAAGAGAGAACAGACCATGTAACTGAGACGGTTGGATGAAGATAAACATGCAGGTAGTTTTGCCGATAATTGACAACAAAACCAGTAACTCTACTCACACAGAACAGGTCATGACGCCGGAAAGCCACTCAGAATCTGTATGAGTGCCTGCATGTATGAACAAATGTGTGCGTGTAAGCTAATACCATCCTGAGGGAGGCAGATGGGAGCAATATAGGGCATGAAAACAGTGACTGACATTTGTAAGTGCACCCACTTGTATCCTCATGGCCTGAGGATATAGGGGTACACCCATCTAGGCTACGCAACAACTCTTCTCAAGACCAAACTGTCATCTACACACTTGAGAAGCAACTGTTTTGTTCTTTGTAAGTGCTGGAAAGACTCTGTTATGCAGTTTATCTCCATATGAGCCTAAGCACAGTTCATTTACAGAGTGGGGACACAGAGAGGCCACAGAAAAACAGCCAAACCGAGCCAGTCAGTCTGTCTGCAAGTCACTGGCACCTAGCTGTTGTAGACACTCTAAACATACTAACATCACTGCAGTAAATGTGTCTTCTCAGTTGCTTTGTCTGTCAGCACTGAGGGATTTTGCAAACATAACCATATTAGGCTAGACTAGTGTGCAGCATACAAGTATGTTTTAATAACACTTTCCACCCGAAACCTGTTGAGTTTTGCAAAAGACCCCTTTAAGGTTTTAGTTTTCATCACTGTCCAGGAAAAAGCCTCAGCATGAGACTGCACTGACTTCTGACAGAGCTCAGAAGTGTTGCTGTAGGCCATTTAAAACACAGCTCAATATTGATGCTGTGGTTGTTTTAGAGAAATGTTGGATTGGTCCAGACATGCCACATAGAACTGGAATGAATTAGTGCACACAGGAGGCACAACTGTAGCACGGCATGGGAAGGGCATTGATTGGCATAGCAAACAATGGAATACACCCCTTTAATCAGTCCAACATAGTAACTTATTTTTTCACATGGAAGGTTCCTATCACAGCCACAGCAGTCTTGAGCCTTCCCCATTCCCGGCCAAGTAAACATGGGGATGTGTGTGTATACTGCAGTGTGTATGTATTAGGTATGCCTGACAGCATCTCAATGACGCAATGTTTGGACGCTGTTTAAAGGAGAAAATCAGACAAGATTTTCTGTCTTGTCTTTCTGTCGCCCAAGGCAGAAGTCATTTATTTACCTCAGTCATGCTGATCGAAACCCCTGAAACACTGCCAGAGAAATCAATGCATCCACACAAGTACAAACTCCCCTCCCTCCCTCCCTTGTTTACCTCTCTCAGAACCACCAGATCCCAGTCCAAAGTTAGGTAAACCTTTAAAAAAATATATGGGGAGAGTGGACCAGTGAGAAAGAACTACATCACTACTTGTTTTCTTTTCTGCTGGACTGTAAACCACTAACATGCACAAACACAAATAAATGACCTCAATGAGGTAAATGTGTCCACGTCAACATTTTACTGTATGTATGATTAATTCAGACAGTAGACATGTACTTGGCTTAAGTCCATATAGTCACATTCAGTTTGGGGGCATTTAGAATTCCCACCCCCTCCCCAAACACTGTGCAAAGACAAAAATTCTCCCTCTTACCAACTTCTCATATATCCATATACAGTCTCTGTACTTTAAACGATCTATCAAGAAAAAGAAAACAATAAAGAAACTTAAATATTGATTAATACGTTTAAGTTTGTAAATCCAGCTTAATAAAATGTACAGATACACATAAAGCGTTAAACCCCCTTTAAAACTCTGCAGTATTAATTTATTAATTTAAACTCTACTGTGGTCCACCTGACACACGGTTATAACTTGGTGTAGATTATTACCCTCGTTATTATTATGGCGTGTTCCTCACCTGCTCGCTCGCTGACTTCGTCTCTTCTCGCGTGCAAGTGCACCACATGAATAGCAGTGTCTCAGAAAGTTGTCCGTTGCAAACACACACACAAAAAAACGACCAAAAGTATGACACTTGGCACAACTTCAACCCGACCAAAAGGAAAGTGGATGGATAAAATGAGGTCTTCCTGCAGATATTTCCACTCCCTGTAACGTTAGTTAAACTGAAAAGCGCTCTTGAACTCTTCGTGCACTGCGTGTGTGTATTTTGGATGGCTGGGTAGTCTGTGGCAGTACGCCCCGGGAAAGACAGACGGCAAACTCCCAGTTGTGCTGCTGCTGCTGCTGCTGCTGGAGGGGAGGGGCCCTCAGCATCTGTACCGCCGTTCTTTTGGACGCTCCACAGCTTCAGTTTCATCCCTCCGAAAGTGCTCCGACTATTAGAGTTACGATGGGCCTTATTAACGGTTATGTATTTCGGCTAATAGCATGATCAAAACAGCTTAAAACTGATCAGAAAAGCATTCATAACCATGAATAGACTCACCAGTCACAGCTCGTGTTACTGCAAAACATGTTAGTGATCATGTGGTATTTTATAATTATTAGTGGCAAAACTATGGCTGAAAATATTATTGCAGTCAGCTCATTGGACTGACCTAACCACTGAGGACTGCCTCACATTTTTCTGTGGTGCTTTTCTCCTCTTATTGACCACTCAGTGCTTCACTCTACAATAATGCCCTCACCCGTTTTTTCTTTAAGCATGCATCAATTTATCTGTCACACCAGTGAATACATTGGGGGCAAGCCTGATTTCAGTATCTTGCTAAGTGCACTTCCACCTACAAGCTGTACAGTAGGAGGTGGGGATCAAACCAATGACATTCCAGTTTATAGATGATTACCTGTGTTTAATTATTTAATTTTACATTGTTTTCAAGTAAATTGGAGTAACTCACATCGATTTAATCACGAAAATATGTTGTAATCCCCTGGGGAAATGGTTAAACTGTCCGTGTTTTGATATATATAGCCATTTGTGTCCAGTCAAAGTCTATGCGGCTCATTTTTGTAAACTTGTGTGTACTCTGGGTTTCCCTGATCTACTAACAAGCAGAAAGAACCAAGAGCTGAATGTTGGTTCAGGCAGCAGATTTTGGCTGTGTGTCACAAAAGACTGTGCAACGAATGGAGGAGTTGATTTTGAAGTAAACATGGATTTCTTTGGCACTCTCTATTCATGTACACACAGACGTGAGTCAATCCAAATCTGCACTTCTTGTGAGTTGTGGAAGGGTTAGAGCCAAACATGCACAAAAAATGAATTTATTCAAGAACAGAGCTGTAATGTTGGACCAAGAAAAAAGAGTTGCAGGATATCCCACCCATAAACTTAGATGAAAATGCTTGTTATTGATTTTTGGTTGTGATGATCATATCACTTTTCCAGTGGTGGGTGTGTATCTTCAACAAATTCGACTGGGTCCCAGTTACCCAAGAGGATTAGGTTAAAGGTCAACAGGTGAAAAGAGTATCCGCCTGCACTGTTGGGAGGTTTAGTGTCAGGGTGTGATCTTCCTCAGGATATCGTTCTCTTGCGCACACTCACGCAAATACACATACACAAGCGGAAAGCAGTTAGTGATGACTTGTACTGACGACATAAGGTTGCACACTGTCCAATGTTCATTTGATCCCTGCCCATTCTCCAGAGAGCTTTGTCAAAAGTGTGTGTGTGTGTGTGTATACTTGTAATGTAAACCTGTTTTTGTTTTTTAGGTCAGGATAATGTTTGGAACATATGTTATATGATGAGATGATAGTATGTGGTTAGACGATATGGTATGGTTGGGGTAAATGATTGGGAAATTAATGTAAGTTCATGTGTGAAGTGACTGAAACAACTGTGTGTGCCTGCGTGTGTGAGGAATCGAGTAAAATACTTGCACAAATTGATTGATTTCCTTGGGATTTTCCCTGGGATTTGGGTTGAGTGACATAAGAGTTTAGCCTCATACTGGAATACATTAATAATAATAATAATGGATTGGATTTATATAGCGCTTTTCAAGGCACCCAAAGCGCTTTACATTACTACATTTCACAAACTCAAAGCACATATATTTGTCTCCAAAAACACCCAAATGTTTGTTTATTTATTTATCACGTACTGGACCATTATATCCTGTTATTTAAACATAGTATAGAAATTGCTCAAATTGCAGGAGAGAGACAACAATAATACCTGCTCAGATTCAAATTGGAGACGTTGTGGTGCACGATTGGCAGCTTAACCTATTAGCAACAGAAGCACATATGTTAAGTAACTCGAGACCCTTTGTGGGATTTTAAACAATGTTCAAACAATTTAAAAATCTGAGGGATGCTGACGGTGATTTCAGTACCAGAACATGATTTTAGTGGACAGTTTAACAAATTGTGGGAAAGTTTCCTAAAAACTGGCTGAGTTATTTAAAAGAAACAAAGAAAGAAAAAAAACACCCCAGAGCGTTATACATTGTTCCAATTAATATTATGAGTAGAGCACTTTATACAAGCTGGAGCTAGCATATTCTAGCTTATAGAATGTCCACTTAAGTCTACAGGATAAGAAGTTGTGTATAAAGGTTTTACCTCTAATTGATGCTTCTTAATGGGGCATCAGATGTTCAATCTGGATGAGGTGGAAAGCTGCAGCCATCTCATCCGATCTCTTCATTGAACAGTGAACATCATCCTGAAAAAGAATCTAATGCCAAAATGTAAACAGAAGATTGTGGGCAATGGAGGAGAAAGGTGGTTATTTGAAGAACAATTTGCATAAATGTGTCTACAAGAATGCAAAATCACCAGTCTTTAAAAGTGGAAACACTTTCATTGGAAAAGTGTGTGTTTGGGATATGTACATGGCCAATATGTCACATTTTAGTGTGGGTTATATATTTTTATTCTTTCTTAAAGGTTTTGCTAAAGCACAAAAAGAAACTGCTGGTGTAAGATTGAAGGCTAAGTTCTCTGGTAAGTCAAATGAGGCGAATGTGCTAAAAACTGTGACATTAAAGTTCCATTATTAGATTCACAATCCTTACTTGTTATTAGAGAAGGAAATGGCTTTTTCTTGCATACTTGTGGTATTCGTTGGCGAGAGGGTCGTGTGCACAGTCACACACACAGTGTTTGTCAGAATGTAATGCAGTCTGTGAGTAATTTCTAACACTAATCGTGAAGATCTACAGCAATAGGGCAGTTATTCAGGCCTGTCAACACAAGCAGCTCCTATTTTACTTCGGACACACACGGAGGCCTCCAAGATTTACTTCCAATAGACCTGAACTGATTAACTAATCTTGATTACAAGAACTGCCACCAGGCTTGTGGTGCTCTTAAACAACTGGAGCAGAGTTAATTGTCAACAATTGTTACTTATTGATGATTAGGGATAAGGATCATTAATTAGATCTCAACTAGACATGTCAACAAGCCATTTAAGGATTTGAATAGCCTAAGAAAATTGAACTATACAGAAACACATCAGACTCAATCTTTTCCCCAGAGACGGTCATATAAGGCTAAGGCTTCTTTAAATAAAGTTGTTTGTGAATGGTAATCTGCATCATTCCTTTTCACGTCTATTACTCTTCTACATATACAAAGAGGCTTACTTACTACTTCTGTGTCAATGATTTGTGGATGGGTGGACACAAACACTATGGCAAGCATTCCGATAGCTCACGATACTTCAATGTTAGGAATCCATCGAGATATCGCGGCTGCTGTATCACATTACAAACGTGTGTTACTCATCATGGGTGTTTCTATGTAGCTGCATCACTGCAATGTAGTTAAAAAGAAAGCACACCCTCTTAACTCGGGGTTTCACATATCAGAACATAGTCAAAAATGAGAAATATGGGCCACACCAGATTCTGAAGTTATTAAAACAAAATCTCATGACATGATGTAGTACACCATGTCATTATGAAACAAAAGCTAAGTTAAAATTCTGATACATTGTGTGAAAAACTAAGTACACTCCAGGATTCAGTATGTGGCCAGGGCAGTAAAAAAAGAAAGAGAACCGACAATGCCACTTGAGGAATTGCACCTCAGGAATTATTAATCTAATGACTTTGTTACATAATCAGTTGGTAGTAAAAGCTCACAGGCAGGGAACAGGTGTAACACGTTACTTTCAATTCTTTATCTGACAATAAGTTAAAAACAAGCCTGGAGCTGCAAATAAATAAATAAATAAATAAACAAGTTAAAACCAAAAAAAAGATATTAGATATTATTCTAGAATACATTTATTTATTTTAAAAAGTAAATAGATTAAATAAAATATCAGCTCCAATAAATAAATCTATACAACTATCTGGGAGGCAAACTACGGTGCCACTAAGTCCTTGTCAGATGTGTCTCACTGCATTTTCTTGTGTCCCAACCTCTTCCATTCACATGTGTAAGTGTGGGGAGAGAACCTCACCTAACAAGCCTCCTAACAAGATGTCCCTACATTGACAAGTCACTTGTCTTCATTTGCTTATTTTTGTACTTATTTATCTTTCACTATTTTTAATCCTCATTTTTACCTTATTTATCTTAATATCTTGTCTTATTTTTAATCCTTATTTATCTTTTTCCTTCAACCCTACCTAACTTGGCATTTGTGTATGGACAGCAAAGGAAGAATTTCATTTCACAGAGAAATGCTATTTCTTCTGTACACATGACAATAAACACTTTGAATCTTGAATCTACACCAACTAAAAGAAAAAAAAATAAGGAGAAACAAATTAAAGACAGACCGAATTAAAATACAAAGCGAAAAAACATTATGGTTGTTATCCAAAGTCTGGTCTGCGATCTTAATGCTGTGTTTCTAATCACCATCATCAGGCACTGGGCAGCCAAATACAGCCATCAAACAGTCAACAAACACTAGGATAAGAAAGAGGTTTTCTAAACACACCAAATCTATTTTCAACATACAGAATCTATTTCAATACATCCATAACAACCACTGCAATCAGAATAAATCCAAAAAGCCAAGAGATCCTGAACAATGAGGTGCAGGTGCGACTTATTATCAAAATTGGATTGGAGCGCTAGAGAAGGAGTTAAGGTTAATGCTGCATTCAAAAAGCACTTCTCGGGTGAGGAATATTTTTCACATGTTTGATAGCACTTTGATTTTATTTTTCAGCCATTCTTTTGCAGATTTGCTGGTATGCTTGGGATTACTGTGAGTTGTATGACCCAGTTTGGGTCAAATTTTTGACTCTAGAATACTTGATATGGTATACTGATGAGTTCAGGGTCG